CAACAAGGTTCAGAAGAAGAGAGAAAGGGCAAAGTCATAAAATACAGAAATAAATACCTGCTGTGAAGATTGCTGCAGTTTTGATGCCCTTATCTTCGTTTTGTAGTCCTGAGAGGAACGAACTAACTGTTGACAACATTGGTTTGACTACAAACTGACAGCGTTCTTTTCTGGATGGCAGAGTAAGAGTTATCAAGGAAGGCGTGTCTATAATTAACTGTTACTTCTGTTAAGAAAAGAAAAATAATACAGGAATGTGTAAATTTTACCATAAGAAAAAACTCTTAAAATACATGAATTCTCAATGGCATGCTTAAGCTTGGAATTCACAAGCCTCTGAATCCGTGGAAGTCTACATCGCTGTATAGTGCCATTGTTACACTCAGTTGCATATTCCCGCTAGCCTATATACATTTCACTGTAGCAGCAGCACACTGTGTTATAATCACCAGTGTAAAGTCTTCCCAGACAAGGAGTTAAATTTTGAGGGCAGAAATCATCGCTTATTCAACTCCTCTGATTGCTGGGGTGGAAACTTGACAAAAGACAGCAGAGATTATGGGAGCAGAAAAGGGAGGAACTAAACCACCAGGGATGGGGTGGGATGGAGATAGTGCAAGAGAAGTCTATTTTGTTCAAATTCACAGCTCTACTTGATGCAAACCATTAGCATCCAAATCAAAGACGTGGTAGAGCGCTTACCGTCAGGTGGCACCACTGTACCGTAAAGGTGTGACTGGCATGATTTTCAGATCTCCACATAGCTGCACACAACAAACCTGCAGGAAACAAGGATTATGTTGTTTTTTAAAAGGAGTGGGAAAGTTGAAATAGGGCAGTTTTACCAGAAGATTTTTTTTTCATCTTACATGACAAGCACAACGGAATTCAACTTCCCACGCATCCCAAGTGAGCCCTTGGGAAAGCTCACTAAAAGCTCCCTGGCCGTGTCTGCTGCTACTATGCGGTAGCAGTGACACGGGGAACAGGGTTCTCCGACTGGGGTGCAAGGACTCCTGAAAATCCTAGAGCCTATGGGAATTTTTAAATTCTGTTTTTCCTTTTAGATGATAGTCTAAAACAAAGGACTATGCGCATATACACTCCAGCTATGTGCTTCTCAAAGTACTGTCCCCAGGCCAGAAGCATCAGCAACCCCATGGAGCCGATTAGAGATGACAATCACAGACTCAGGCCAGACTTACTGTGTTATGATCTGCATTCTAACAAGACCCCCAGGTGATTCACAGGCACAGTGGGGTTTGATAAACACTACTCTAGATCTGTGCTGTCCCATGTGGTAGCCACTAGTCACATGTGGCTATTTAAATTAATTAAAATTACATACAAAGAAATTCAGTTCCTTAGTACCTATTGCCACATTTTAAGTGCTCAGTAGCTGTGTGTGTCCAGTGGCTATGTTACTAGAAAGCCAAAGCACAGGAACAGAACATTTCCGTCATCACAGAAAGTTCCACTGCACAGCACTGCTGAGTCTACAACATCTGAATGGTCACTTCACCATGGAACATGTTTTTAGGGCTGGCATTAGTGTCTGTGTTTACAATTATACTGGTGCTTAATGAAAGCCAAATGACATCATCGTGCACTGTGTGAACTAAATTATTGTGTGGTAGGAAGAAAGGGCATTGAAGAATTGGTTCATAGGCATTTGGAACTCAAAGACCTTGTGCCATGGTCACAACATGGCTGCATCCTATTATTTTTTAAGGCATCACCTTGCAATGGTTTAAGATGATGCTGATTCAAATGATATTCCAGTATGCTCGAAATGAAAAGAACCTCATCAATAAGTAAAACCAAAAATCCGAATACATATCCTAGTATTAAACACAACACAGGCGATTAGTGTCAACAAAACACCATCTGTCACACTAAAGCAGTTCATTTGAGTTTTATTTCTAAAACTTGAATTCATTATTAAAATGAAAAAAAGTAGATTATATCTTAAAATAGAAGTAAATCTCAATAAATAAATATATGTAGAAGTTTTCCAATTCTGGGTAATAGCTATTACAATACTGTCTTTAATGAAACTACATCAAATTAAGAAAGATGTATTTACTTGAAAACACATCAGAATTAATTTTCTATCAAAAATATTTTAATACTTCTTTAAGGCAGGCTTGGTGGCTCACATCTGTAATCCTAGGGAGGATAAGCCAGGAGGATCTCTTGAGGCCAAAAGTTTGAGACCAGCCTGGGAAACGGCAAGACCCTATATCTCTACAAAAAAAACAAAGAATTAGCCGGGTGTGGTGGTGTGCACCTGTAGTCCCAGCTATTCAGGAAGCTGAGGCAGGAGGATCCTCTTGAGCTCAGGAGTCTGAGGTTGCAGTGAGCTATGAAGCCACTCTCCAACCTGGGCAACAGAGCGAGACCCTGTCTCAAAACAAAAAAACAAAAACTAAAACCCTTCTTTAAAAGTATTTGATATAAATGATTCTCCATGTATAAAAGTCAAATACAGAAATGTACACTTTACCCACTTCTCTCCATTTTTATTGTTAGTGTCTGGTCTAGACCACCATCATCTATTGTACTAGTTTCCAAATTTGGTTTCCATCCTTGCTACCCTCCAGGATGTCCTCCTCAAAGCACCAGAGTGATCTTAGAATGGAGATAGAATCACCCTGTTCCTCTACTTAAAGCCCTTCCATGGATCCCCTTTAGACCTCAACAAAATAAAAACTTATCATGGCCAACGAGAAGCTACAGGACATGGACACTGCTTCTCATGCCAACCTCGTTTCATTCCCTTCTGCTCCTCGCTCACCTCACTCCAGTCCTGCTGGCCTCCCTCAGTTCCTAGAACAAGGCACGTTCCTCAGGGACACAGCACATGCTGTTCTCTGTCTAGAACGTTCTCCCCCACCTCTGTATAGCTAAATGCCTTACATTCAGCATATTTAATATTCATAGCAACCATATGAGGTATACATTATTACCCATATTTGTTCATTCAACTGTATTTATGTATCTCTTAATTTATTAAAACATAGCTCAGCATTGATGTGATAGGAAGTAACTAGAGAACAGGGGCTGGCAAATGACAGCCTGTGGGGCAAGAAAAGCAACCTCCCACCCCAACCTATTTTTTTAAGTAGACATTATTTTTTAGAGCAGTCTTAAAAGTTCACAGCAAAAGTGAGCAGATAGTTCTGAGAATTTCCACATACATATCCCTGTCCATCCCTACCCACCCGCGCCAGCCTCTGGCACCATTAACATTTTGCACTAGGGCGGTATATTTATTACAGTCAGTAAGCTTGCCTTGGTACACCATTATCACCCAAAGTCCACAGTTTATGTTAGGGTTCACTCTTAGGGTTGTACTTTCTGTGGGTTTGGACAAACACATAATGGCATGTACCTACCACCACAGTCCCATACAAAGACATGTCACTGCCCTAACAGTCTTCCGTGCTCCATTCATCCCTGCACCTCCCACAACCCCTGGCTTGACCACTGTTCTTTTCCCTG